TTTCCTAATCGAATGCCTTTGGAGATTGGCAGCATATCTCAAACCTCACTTGAGTTGAAACTAATTTTCGCCTGCTCACCAGTGAACATGTATGTAATCGAGTCCTTGGCCTCAAGAGTCTTGTTTAAATTGCATTTCTCGGTTGCTTATGTTACTCATGCGATTGCATATACACTCGACAGACAGATAGATATGGCAGATATTCCATTTTTGACTGCAAGTCGTCGCATCGTTCGTCAAGTCCTTCAGCTTAGAAGCTTTCGCCGCGTCGAGTGTGTGTGTTCAGTATTTATGAAAGGAAAATTGCTGTGGCATTTTGAAGCAGAATATTTGAATATTTCCTTCGAAAAAGGGACGAACTTGTGATCTCATTATCAGATAATTTGCGATGCGTTTGAAGGCATCATTTGCCACACCTGCTAACCTGCAAGCTAACCAGCACTCTATTATTCCAATCAAAAAATTTGTTTAGCTGGGAATTTTCTGGGAGCTCCAAGAGCAACTATGAAATGGAACTAAAAATGTGTGCAAAATAAAGTGAAAAAGCCAAAGCTCAGGAGCTCAGAAAAAATGGGGAAAACTCTGCGGAGTTGGCAATAATAGAGTGAGCTTGCTGCTAGCTGCTCAAGTGCAATGGCAATTGTTGTTGGTTTAGCTGGGAGCGTGTATACAGTGCTGCGGATAAGTATCCTGCCAAGGGCCGACGGTGGTGCACTCAGTTTCGTAAGCAACTGTAAGCGAACTGTGGAGTAATCCACGCTCGCTCATTTTCACAATTAGAGGGGATCGGGGATTGTGCGGATGCTTTAAGCACAAATTTTCAACTGTCCAAGTCCGCTGGGCGATGGGCCTTTGTTTTTCCTCTGACGAAAAGAAGAATTTTCCCAGAAAAAAATTTCAACGCTTTTTGTGTGTGCTTTTTTGTTTCTTGTTATATATATTTTTTCTATAATTTTGTTGTTGCTGTGTTTTCTTTATTTTGGACTGCTCTTGACGTCGTCGTCGTCGTCGTCATGGTCGTCCTTGTTGAGTGCAAGTCCTCGACGGAGTCGCCATCTCCATGGCATGCTTGGAATTTGCTTTGCTTTATGCTCTCCCTCCCTTTTTCGGGATGGGTTTTTTTTTCGGGCGGTGTAAGTGCACCTTATTTCTTTCATTTTTGCATTATAAAAGGTAGGAATTAATGCACAGTCGAGTGGGAGGGTCCTGAGGAGTCCTGTTCCCGTCCTCAAGTTTGCTGAAAGTGTTGGGAACTGTTTCGTGGTTTCTTCTTGTTTTATGATTAAAGTTTGTAGTGGGCGACGAGGATGAAGTGGGCGTCGGTGAGCCGTCAAAAGGACGATGAAGAAAGAAGACCTTAAATATGAATAATATAAATTATAAAATGAATTTTTAGTAACTCGTGCTCGGCGTGCCAAGAAATATCCTTCTTATCTTGTCTGCTAAACTTGGTTCTTCCTGAGATATTCATTTCACGTAAAGCCACTTGCCATTTATTTTCCGCACATATTTCCTTGGGTGATTTTCAAGCAATTTTCCTGCTTTGTTTTACAGTCTAATTTGTGCCGTTTATCGCACATACAAATATATATATACATATATAGGAATATATACAAATCCCAATTCATATCCTCAACGAAAACAAGAAACATCCAGCCCCGGCATCAACATATTGCTTATCTATTAAAGCAATCCCAAATCGCTCAACTTTGCATAATGCAATTCGCCCAAAAACTAGATAAACACATGCATACTATATATATATATATATATATATATATATTGTGCTTTCTGTGTTCAGTTATCCTTAAGGCCTTTGCCTGACTTTCCGCTCTGCGAATCCTGTTGCCTCCACTGTAGCTGCCGGCTTTTCAAAGTTTTCCCAGCCATTGCATGTCATTTGCATAGTTTTCATTGCCCAAAGTCCTCGTCCTCGTCCTCGTCCTCGTCCTCGTCCTCGTCCTCGTCCTCGTCCTGCCACTGCCATAGCAGTTGCTGTAACGAGCTGTCAACAATCTTTTAGTTTGGGCCATCGGCAATGTATTTGCCAGTTTTTCAATTGAATTGTCGAACGAGTCTCGTTGATATCACAGGCTTTCCACTTGGCTTCCTTCCTGGGCTACCGCTTCTCATCCTCCTATTCGTCCTGGCAAACATGCAAAAATATTAACTTAATTTATGAGGAGACGGCCCGGCCTGTGTTAATGTTGCAAATCGGCCGACAAATTGCTCGCCATTGGCCAGTTGATTTATGGCAACTGGGTCGCTGAGCAGGCTCGCACTCCGCTCGATTCGGAGAATGCAACTAAATGTGCAACCTACTTTCCAATTATCCTGCTGCAGTGGCTCCCGGTGGCTTCAAGGACCAACCGCAGCAACAACAACGACGACGGCCACTGTGTGAGCCCGGTTAACAAAGCCTGGCTGAGTGCATTTTAGCTGAATTACGGCCCTTTCTTGAGAGCGCACAAAAAGACAGGTGGGGCGCGACTGGGAGGGAGGGGTATTCTGTGCCAGGATGCACTCACCTGCATGTGCGGTGAAGGATGCAGGACGTGAAGTGGGTGAAGGCCTCGGCACACGCCCAAAGGCGAGTAAATGGCCTTTTGTGCCCATTGTCTGAGGCTCCTGCTGCTGTTGCTGCTGCTGCTGCTCAGGCTCCTGTTCGTATTCCTGCTGCTGCTGCAGCCATTATATGCCGAAATAGGGCCACTCAATGCCAGCATAAGATCTCCCGAGTTTCATTTGCAACACCTGCAAATGCAATTTTCATAATTCACTCCAATTTACTAGACTTTTCTGCTAATTAGTCTCAGAGAGAGAGAGAGAGAGTCTGAGTGCGAACGCTATGCAAAAACTTGGGCTAATTGCTAAATAAGCAGAGACTCATTAAATTAGAGAGTATTGCTTGGGAAAATCGCCTTGAGGCGGAAATCTGGGCAGGCAACATCCGTTTCCGTTTCCGGTGTAGTGGCTGTAGCTGCTCCTCTCCGCCTGCCTTCCTGTGAAATATTAACCCACTAATGCCGAGTGCCTCTGCTCTATGCCATGATTCACGCGGTGTCACGTTAACCCATTAAGCACAGAGCCATAGATACAGTTGTTCATTGTTGCCGGTGTCCTTGTTTTGCGGTCTAAATGCACAAAAAGCTTAGCATAAATGAGCAGGGCTCCCTTCCGCCGTGTAGCTCCTGCTCCTTGTTGTGGTTGTTGTTGTTGTGGGTCCGTGTCCGGTAACAAAGCTCATTAGCAAAAGGCAGCCAAACTGGCGAAAATGTTAGCGAGTGCAGCAGCAGCAGCAGCGTTATTCAGCGGAAACTGTGGCCGCCATTCACCAGAGGAGCTGCTCCCGAGATCCCACCAAATAAAAAGCGAAACATTTTGCAAATATTAAATCAGTCGAGAGAGAAAGAGAGTGAGACCTGCGGGATTTCTGCAAGTACTAATTAACTTGGTGATTTAGGGGAATGACTGTAAATAAATAAGAGTTGTGGGGGTTTTTAGTATGGTTTCCATTTTACTACTTTAGATTGGGGGAGAAGTTTAACCAATTTATAAAGTAATTGGAAGATTTGTTCAATTAAATATAAAAGCTTGAATTAACAAGAACTTTAATTTGATAAATTAAAATAATTTGCAAAGCTTTAAAAATCACTACTATTTATTGCTTTATTTGATAATTGCTTCAATTTGGTTCATTTAATTATTTCTATACGATTTTAAAACCCATTTTACTACTACTTCCTCATTTTCCCAGCATTCCCAAAGTAAAATCCCTTCTTTTGTGCAAAATAAATGCCATTTGCCTTCGTTTGATTGACAAACGTTGAAAGGTTTTCTCGCATTCCTTGCATAATCTTTACTTTTAAAGTTCTGCCTCTGCCTCCCCTGAATTCCTCTCCCATCGAAATTTCTCTTGATTTCCTTTTAATTCTTTGGGCAAATAATAACAAAACGAATCCAAAGATAAAGTTCAGATACTGCTCCTTCTTCCCCCTGTTAGGCCGGGGTAACTTTTCCGGATTGGTGCTGTTTGTCTTTGGGCGTATTCCGGGACTGACTCGAGTACCTGCTCGCCGAACTGGAGCAGAGCTGTGGCAAAAGTTGGCTAGCCGGAGCGCAAAAGTGTCTTAACAATTGCTCGGGCATCTATAAACATAATTAAAGAAACTCTGGCAAATTAATTCAAGTTGAGAATTTAACAATTTATCCAAGCAGAGGCTGGGCGGCGCAAAGTTTTCCCATCCTGCCGCCCAGCCAAACAATAAACAATCAAGTTGAATTCAATGGCGACGGGCAAGGCAACTTTTTAATCAACTTGAAGATGCAAATTCTGGATAGTTGCTCCGCTCGACTCGACTCAGCGCGGTCTACATGGCCGTCTAATTGGCCGGCGTTAATAATGTGTGCTTGTTACTGATGTTACCGACTCTTAAATTGCCGAGCAGCTGACGCCAGTGATTCAATTTGTCAGCTGCTTGTCGGACGGATGTCCTCCGGGGGGCTAAGGATGTCCTCGAATGATGTGACTTTTAGTGCCTGAGCTTAATTAAAAACCCTGTTGGAGTAATCGCCGGCGTCTTGTCTTCATCGCCGGCGCTCCTTGCCAGAGCTCTGAAGCTTCCAAGTAGTTACAAAGTTCGATCTTTGCCGTCTGTCTGCTCTGCGGTCGTTTGCCCCAAAGTGCAAAGCGTTGTCCTGTGCTGGGAAAAATCCAGTAAAGGACGCGACACATGGCTTCTTACACGCCTTCCGTCTCCCCGCCAGACTTGTACCACCTCCTAATTGAGTTGTACAAGGCTACTACTAATTGCATTCGATGCCTGCCGCTTGGCGTTGATATAATTAAATTTTATTGGCATGAGCTGGATCCGGAGCCGTGGCTTAAGGTGTTTTCTGGTCAGATTTATTGCCGTGCAATTTAATTAAAATTTAATCGCGGTGGAGCTGCTGCGACTCCAGCCCCCGCCGCCTTACTTGTCAAGTTCAAGTTATTGGCATTGACACTTTTTAGTTTAAACTGAACTCTAGCATACGGGAGCCACAAAAAATAGTTCATGGTTTTGAGTTGGGAACGGGACGCGCACATACACCACACACACACTTTTACACGTGCCAAAACGCACACATACTAAGACGAAACACACACACCAAGAGGCACCCGGACGGCAGCATCCCCATGCCTGGCCCGGTGGAGGACGAAAACGAAGACTTGGCGGAGTCGGAGGACCTGTGCGCCTTCTGCCTGGACCGCATCCAGAATCCAGAGAGGCTGCACTGCAACCATGCCTTTTGCAAGACTTGCCTGGAGATCTACCTGGAGGAACGCAACTGGGTGGCCAAGAGCTGTCCCATCTGCCGGCGTAGCCTGGGCGAGCCGTGGGCCAGGCAGGGTAACGCAGTTCGTGATTTCCGGGGTCCAGGGAAATACATAATCGTAAGAATATCTTGACTCTGCTTACGCTTTCATTATTATCCTGTGATCTCCCCCTTCAAGGGCTGGCGACTGTTTGGCTGCATGACGCTTGCAATTATGCTGTTGAGTCTGGTGTCCTTTTACCTGCTGCTGATCTACTGGTAAAGTTCGTTCACAGGGCGGCAGCAGCAACTGATTTGGCAAAGAAAAAGAACAAGATGTATATTTGTACTTAGATAGACTCGCCAGAGAGAAAGATATGTATGTATGCAAACTTGCCAGTGGATTTTAATTAAACCTGAAAGCCATAAAATGCCAAGTGGAATGCGCTTTGTTCTGCTGTTGTCCCTGCTCCTGGGTCCTTTGTCCACCTTAATGAGTTTTCAGCCACTGAGATAGATAAGGGTGTTCTTAGTGTATTCTTAGTGCTTTTAGGCTGCTGTCTGAATAGAATTGAAAGTCAACTTGCGGGCCACACAGAGTACAAAAACAGTGCTCATACGCCCTGTGGTCCCCGGCTTACCCATTGTACTGCCGCGTTTTAATTCAATTTTATGCGCCAATAAACTGCTCTTGACTGCCAGCATAAAAAAGCGCACTGCCACGCATGCATGCATGTATGCTGCAGTGAAAGCAAATAAATCTAAGCTGAGTCAGGCCATCGGCAACTATGTTATGTATGCTATATTCCAATATATCCCAATATATCCAGGCACGGTCTGGCCCTTATTTATGTTTATTTTGGCGGCTGTAAATCAAAATGTTTTTGGCCACAAAAAACGCATATAATTTACAAATATTTTGCCACTTTAAAATGACCAACAAGTAAATATTGGAAAAATGCTGAATATTAAATGCTGATTGGCCAACACAAAGATGGATCAGGGTATACCCTGTGGGGATTAGGGCTAACTAGCAGAGTATGTTAATTTTTGGATTTTATTTATAGTTTAAAAAGTATTGTATGTTTTATTTAGAATAGGATTACACAGGCCTAAACTCTACTAAATGCTCTTGTCTCTCTATCGGCAGTAAATATTATTTTTAGGGGATTTTGGCATGGACTGCCTTCTGTCCAGGGTACAATTGTATTTTAGTAAAGCTATTGATACGCTTTGAATTTCGAACGTGTTTGCCACACAGTTTGTTCACTTTGGCCATAATAGTAGCTCACACATACACGGGGGCAGCAGCAGCAGCCGGAAAAACAAATATGGCTATGTGTTTTTCAGTTATTTGCGCCGCGAAAACGCTCCGGAATTTGGGCCCTGGCATGCCCACCTGAGCATGTGGCTAAATATTCCGCCGTAAACTAATATGCCACTGCCCGAGATATGGAGGATAACCGCCGAGCAATGGCATTCCAGGTTTCGCGGTGGAATTGGAAACGGCATTGGAGGAGCGAGCGGTGTGGCCTAATCCTTGCCCGGCTTTGGGCATCAGCCATGGTCGAGTTCCATTTGCCGCTCGCTGTCACATCCGTTCGCACAGGATATGAAATGGCTGCCGCTGCTGCTCATAGTGTTTCCCGGTCTTTGGTTATATTTTTTTCCCTCGCTATTTGCCCGATTTGTGGGCCAATCCACACTCGATTTTTGTCGATTTTTTCCGCTTTTTGCCCGGCACTCACTCGGCTGCCAGTGTTGGTTGTTTGGCTTTTGTCAGCTGGCAGGCAAATTGAAATGTTTGCCTCGGGCATCGGTTTTCCACCAAAGCCCCTTCGCCGCGTCATCACACGCCGCCTGCCATTCCCCTCCCCCCACGCCTTTGTTTGTTGATCTTTGACACTAGGCTGTAATTGAAAGTTTTGTGTGGACATTTGAGAAGACAAAGCCAATCGATAGGGTTTTAGGAGCCCCGAACCGAAAACTGGTTCACCAGAGCCAGCTGAAAATTGAATTTCGACTTGCTTTACACATATATGGTACGCCGGGGTCTGTACTCTCAATTAGTTTCGTGGACGTGAACGTGAACGTGGGCGGGCTTAATTAATTTTTACATGTCCCGGGATGACCCCAAACTGCGGCCATGGCCAGGGCACCGCCCACACGGCCGCCTCCTTTTGTAAAGTCCACCTGTCCTCATTTGTAACGCCCATTTCGTTGCTGGCAAGCAAGCGGCTTTATCGCTTCCCCCCTTCCGTGGCGCGACCACAATTTCATCGATAGCAAACACAGACGATGGTGGGGCTTTTCCAACCGCTTTTCCGACCGCTGCCGCCCCGCCTGAAACGTTGGCTCATTGCCAATGCATTGTGCGCCGATTATTTTGCCGTTTATTTTGCTCTCGCCTGGTGATTTTCCTTCTCCATACCGAGTAATCATAGGGCAAGAAGAGTGTATAGCCGCCTATTCTGTTAACTATTTATTATTATTTTTATTATTCTGTCTAATTTAAACATCTTTAAAGAGAGTTAAATATTTTTAAAAGCGTTTATTTCCTTATTAAATGAAAACCAGACAAAAGATCTCTCACTACCGGGTATCTCAGAGTCGTGGCTTCTTGACTTGAGCTTTTCTCCCATTTTTTTTTTCTCTCGCTGACTCTGTTTTCCCGGGGCCTGGGGTTTCATATTAAATTTTTGTCACTCTGCCATGTCTATCTTCGGCTTCGGTGCTCTCCAAATTGGCTGCTTTTCAACAAAGATGCAACATCTGTTGCCATGAAGCTGCTTTCCAGCGCTGCCGCTCCTGCTGCTCGTCCTGCTATCGCTTTGCATATCCTTTTTGGCTCTGGTGCAAATTGCAGTGTTGGCCCGGCAAAAGGAGCTCATGTCCCGTCCCGATGTTTCTCCGGCTGTTTCTCTTGCCGCAGAAACCCAAAATCCTATTCATTATGTCACCGGAGGACGAGAAATGAGTATGGGAATGGGTATGGGAATGCAATGGGGATCCGGGATTGCCATTTGCATGTCCTGTTTCGTTTCATTAAATGCCTGCCTTGCCTTGCCCTGCCTTGCCTTGCCGCATGCAATTACCAATTTATTTTGCCGGAGTGCACTTCTGGCTTGTCTCGGCTTTTTATGGGCCCCAGCCTGGGCTGTGATAAGGCATAACCCCCGCAGCTTAGCGAGTGGCTCACATGCTCAAATAGTGCCAAATTAGCTTGGTTTTGATTTCTTTTTTGTTTTGATTTTCATTTGGGAAGTTCTTTTGGCTTATGGGAGTTCATTTTTTAAAGCCAAGTTGTATGTAAAGGTTTTGAGCCCCCCCTGCTACTAAACCCATGATAAATGCACAATAAAGTGCCTGATTTTGCTAATTTTAGTCTTGTTTTGTGTATAATGATTTCTTAGATCTTTTCCACCGACTCGCCGGGTGTAATGATATAATTAATTAGTCGACCTGTGCGGGGCGTCGCCGTTGAACCCAGATGCCGCATTTGTTTTTGCCAGCTGCATGCACACGTTCCCGTCTGTTGTTGTTTCCCGGGTTACCTCGGCTCCTGCGTGTTGCTCCTGTTGCGGCTTCTCCACCGCTCGGAATCCCTGGTGCCATGCCATGCCGTGCATTGTTTGCCCTGATTGCCAACGTGGCTGGTGTGGAGACGAGATGAGGCAACGACCTCTGGCTGCTTGTCAAAGATTAAGCAAACCGAGCTAAGCGGACAAACAAACACGCACTCGAGGGCATTTGGCAGGACCTTTCCGGCAGAGACAGAGAGAGGATGCCACAGGATTGCCCAGGACACGGCGCACACGGGTGCACATGGCAATTGCTGCATTTAGTGAGCAATAAATTCCCTTTTAATTTACTAAATGTGTTTGTGCCGGCGATGCGATGCGAGGCCAGCTTCCAATATCCATCCAGTCAGTCGGTGTCCTGTGGCCAGTGTGTCCTGCGCGTGAAGCGGACAAATGGCTGCGGAAGACGGATGATGCAATTGTCTGGCCCGAGACTCTTAATTGCTCCTGCTCCAGCAGGACTGCAAGTTTTTCGGCTTGCAATTATGCAAATGCAAATGCCAGAGCCGAGTGGTGCCGGCCCGAGTTGCCAATGATGATTTTGTGGCCATAATGATTTGTTTCTGTGGCTGTGCCTCAGCTCGGTCAGCTTGATTGACCGCACAATTTCCTGTCATTAGGGTCGAGCATATGCCGCTCTTCTGCGGCGAATCAAAGCAGGCAGGAGCGAGTGCCGTGCCGGCTTCAAATTAAACAGATTGTGTATTTATGAAAGCATTTAAAATGCAAGCACAAGGCGACCCAGGCAGGAGCAGGCCCACTGCCATAATTTCACATTAACCTAGTTCCAAAAAATGAGCAGCATCTGGTTATGGTTTCCTCTCTCTCTCTCTCTCTCTCTGGCTCTTCCCTTGGCCATTATCCTGTTGTCATCATCCCTCTCTGCTGCTCATTAGCCGGCACATCCAGGATTCTGGCGTTTAATTATGTCACACCCCAATGTCGTCGTGTGTGTGTTTGTGTGTAAGAGTTGTCGTTGTCAACGTGGCATTCATCAAACATGCAGCGGAATTGCTCCCCTGGCCAACTACGCCGCCCTCATCTCTTCATCCCCGCGGGTCAGGACATCAAAAGTCCTGGCCATAAACTCGCCAATTAGATTTCTGCGTTTTCTCACTGATTGCATTTATGTACGAGCAGGTGTGTACATGTATGTTTGTGCTGTCAATCAATTTTTAATGAGTTTGAAATTGTTTGGCCAGCCAACAATAGCTCACTTTTCCGGCAGAAAGTTTTTTTATGGCCAAGTACCATGTATTATATACCATGAGATCATCTTACCTACTCCTGGGGATATAAATTTTGTAACCTTTGGGGTTTTCTTAGGGAATCAGCTATATATACTTTGTAATGTTCACATTACTTTCCCTTTATAATTAAACTTTCTATGTATCCATAGATATTATTGGTTTACACAAGTGACAGGATACTTAAATATTCTCCTTACTCCACTTGATCCTCTCTTAGATCCCTTCCAGCTTACTTTCCCTGCTGCTGCTGCTGCAACTTTAAAGTCTGATTCAATTAACATGGGGCCACGTCTTCGACTCCTTGGCAGACTTAATTGCCTCACTGACTTATATACAGGAAAAACAGGCTAAAAGGGACCGGGAGGGGGAGTCAGGCAAAGGGAAAGCAGCGTTGCCCAGATAGGGGACAGCAGGTGTTCTGGACTTGGCCAAGTTAATGCTCGCCTAAGCCCCGCAACTGCAAACATCATTAGCCAATATTATATGCATTAAATTTTATGCCCAAATGGCCCAGAAAGGGGCTGGCAAAGTGGGTGGTTTCGTGGGGTGGCAACTGGGTGGGTTTTCTGCTGGGTGGCTTCTACGGCTGGCAACGCTGAGTTTTCT